CTACTACTACTACCACTACTACTACTACTACTACTACTACGACTACTACTACTACTACTACTACTACTACTACTACTACTACTACGACTGACATTGCTACTGCTACTACGACTACGACTACGTCGATTAGTTCTCATACTACCACTCCGAGAAGCACACCGGCTGGTACTACGAGTGGAACTACGATATCTGATGCGTAGTTCGCTTGTACCACGCGCGGCAACTTCTCCCAGTACACTGGCCATTACTAGTACTACGGAAAACTGCTGCTACTACTACTACTACTACTACTACTAGTTCTACTACTTCTACTTCTACTACTACTACTACTACTACTACTACTACTACTACTACTACTACTACTACTACTACTACTACTAGTACTACTACCACTACTACTACGACTACTACTACTACCACTTGTACTACGATCACGACTACTAATCCTACGATTGCTAAAACCAATCGCACTACTGGCACCACCAATCGCACTCCTGCTACTACTACTACTACGACGACGACGACTACTACTACTACTACTACTACTACTACTACTACGACGATTTCTTGTATTACTACTACTACTACTACTACTACTACTACGACGACGACGACGACGACGACGACGACGACGACGACGACGACGACGGCGATCACGACGACGACGATTATCACTATTGCAACAGAGCTGCCTGACCCCGCTTCCCCTGATACTGCCCAACTTCCTCCCCCGCCTCCCTCTGTATCGCCACCACCATATCGTCATCACCATGGCCACCACCATCGTCGCAATCGTCGCCACCAACCCTCGTTGTGCACTCGATTTTCCCCACTAGCCCACTCGCCTTCAAAATCCTACACCATCCCCCAATGACTCTTGCAGCATACATCATCCGTAATCCCTTTCGTCCTCGCGTATCATCCAACAATTGTGGCACATCGTTATCCTCCAGCTGCCCTCTTTATACCTACATGTCCTTCGTTGTCCCTGGCCCTCACCCCAAGTCGTCATAGGACGGGATGGTAGGTTAACCTCCTCCTGCTACTACACCTCCTCCCCTCTGACACTTTATCGCTGCGCTCGCCTGAGGTTCCCGCTCTTTGCGGCCGCGTTGATCAGAATCGTGTACGTGGCCACGTTTGGTTCGTCTTCCATCGTGCTGAATTCGTCGAACCACCTCTCCGCAACGGGCAAATCTCCAGACTGTGCCGCCGCGTTGATGAATGAGTTGAGCACCGTGGCAGACGTGACCACCTCCGCGTCGACTGCGGCCCTGTGGGGGATAGTATCAGACGCACCGGAATCCCAGAACCACCTGCCACGCGCAATCCAGCAAGACGGAACAAGGCGAAGAGCGAAGGGGGACGCAAGTGGATCATGGATCCAGCCACGGAGGAGAGGAAGGCAGCTGCAGCTCCTGGAAAGCGGCGCGCACCGGTCTGGGCTGCCAGCGTCACGCACATTCACCCTCCCCAGAAGCCTGAACCACCGCTCGGCCGCCTGCGTGTTCTTCTCGGTGGTCGATGCCTTGACCAGGGCCAGGAAGGTTCCTCGCGAAAGGGGAGCCGAAGACAAACACGAGAGGACGACGACGACGACGATGGGATCCACATTGGCTCGGAGTTATCCTCGAAAGAAACATCACGTATCAATAATGAGTCTTATCATCCTCGCTCGCCGCCCCTCCATCCTCCCTCTCCTATGGCCGCCTCATCCGCATCATGCTATTTCTGCCCTCATCTTCATAATCCGCCACCACGTCCTCCGCCCCATCCTCCTCATCATCATCATCATCATATTCATCATCATCGTCATCAGCATCGTCCTCCTTCTCCTTATCCTCCTCCTCCTCATCATCATCGCCATTATCATATCATCGTACCCAACACCATCACCACCGCCACAGCCTCAGCACAGTCATCGTCATCATGGTCATCGCCAGCACCAACATCAACATCGGCATAACCATCACCAGTTTCGCCGTCATCGTTAATGATATCATCATCTTCATCGACAGCATCGTCCTCATCGTCATCATCGGCATCTTCAGCATCAGCATCATCATCAAAAACATCATCAGCAGCATCATCAGCATCATCATCAGCGACACCATCAAGATTCATGATCTTCACCACCACCACCACAATGATAATAATCATCCTGAACATCGTTATCTCCATTATCATTACCATCACCGTACCAATCAGCCTCATCCTCCTCATCATCATCAGATTCATGATCATCTTCATCATCAGCATCATCATCATCATCAGCAGCATCATCATCATCATCACCATCATCGACATCACCATCATCACCGTCATTACCACCATCAACCTTCTTTTGCATCGTCATCATCACCATCAGCACCATCATCATTGCAATTGGTGTCACGATTGTCATTGCTACCACCACCACCACCCACCATCAGAAACATCTTAACAATAAGCCCCAGCATGAGCAGCAGCATTGTTATCATCATCGTCGGCGGCAGCAACA